CGATAAGACGAAAACGAATCATATCCATATAAATTATATGTGATTAGATAAATATAATCAAATATGATTAAATATAAAAGAACAACTACTAAATCGAAAATGCAAAAATGAATATTGTTCATACAAATGATATGTGATTAGATACATATAATCGTATGCAATTAGATACATATAATCATGTGTGATTATGTTAATTTAATCATATGTAATTTATGTAGACAATATTAATTTTCGTGTTCTCTATTTAATTGTTGTTCTCGAGTATTTACTCACATGTGATTATAGGTATTTAATCACAAAAGATTTATATGGACATGATTTGTTTTTGTGTTCTTGATTCAATAGTTGTTCTCGTATATATAATCACATATGATTACATGTATCTAATCACATATGATTTATATGGATAATATTTGTTTTCACATTTTCGATTTAATAATTTTCTCATGTATTTAATCATATGTGATATATATTATATATATATATATTATATATATATATATATATATATATATATATATATATATATTATATCTATATCTATATTATATATATATTTAAACACATGTGATTAATGAGGATAATTAACTACTATTGAACCGAGAACACGAAAACAAATATTGTACACATAAATCATATGCGATTATATTAACGAAACAACTATTAAATCGAGAACGCAAAAAATGAATATTTTTGCAACCGACTTCAATTATTGTAGCGAGCATATGCCAAAACGACGTCATTTTACATTTTTTTTAAAATCACATGCTATCGACATTTTTGTACTAGCAAAAATTGTGGTTGATTTTGGTATATTTAAAATGTTGAACTCTTTAAAAAAAACGATTTATAAGATTAATTGAATTAGTTATTTTCTCAAAAGCAAATTTTTAAAAACTATTTAAAATGTTTAAAAGTACCTTTTTGCTAGTCTTTGTACCATAGGTTAAACAAATCGTTGCTTTGAATCTTTTGGTTGATATCACCAAATATAGAACCTAACACGCCACCACATGTCAATGTCAGACATGCTATCTTTCCGAGAACCAAAAGTTTCTTTATTATTATTCATTTTGAACATAAAATGTATTCAAACATTATAAACATAAAAATGAAAATCATGTACCAGATGTTAGCCTCACACCATCATAACCCTCAGTTTTCCTTTATCCTCTTCCCTCTGTGCCTCTCAAGTCTCAATCAGTTTTAGAAGATCATCCGACATTGAATTCCAACCATGAGTCGATTCAACAAACTTGACATCATCGATTACTAGTTATTTGAATAATCCACTCTTTTTCCCCCATTTCCAAAACCGTTTGCGTTTCTAAACCATACTTTCCCCATTGATCTAGTTGTCGATCTCTTAAAGCATACTTTCTCTTCATATCTCTATTTGATGACCTCGACATCGTCGATCTGATTCACGTCGAGAGGAGGACGTCGTTAGACACCTTTACAACTCGAAATCTCATCACCAGGTGTCGATCCACACTAACGAAATTGTACCTTCGGTCACTTTCCGACCGCGTCTCTACTCTCGAGTAAGGGTTTGATCTGGTGAACGACGAGAAGGTCAAGTCCGATCGTAAGTACACTTGGATGGAGGAGAGCAACAGTCCGAGTAGGACAGTTTAGATCGAAACGAAGATTGAGATCGAGAAACAATTGTCTTCTGCTTTATCAACATTCGTTGTATATTTGGTAGTTTTTTTTTTCAAATCCGGTTAATGTCTGGTGGTTAGTGAAATGATATCGGGAAATCTTTCCGGTTAGAAAAAGAGTTGGAGGGATATTCCACAGTCGGAGGAATAGAAGCGAAGGTAGTAGATCTGGAGTGAAAACGAGATTGTGTGGTGGTTCCGTTTCCAGATTTTAGGCGGCGATCGGTGGTTCAGGCGACTATCTATTTGTTTCGACGGGGGTCCAAAAGAAGAAAGGGTGTTTGTAGGTGGGAGAGGGGGGGGGTGGGTTGGGGGGGGTAGGATGTTTTTATTCATTTAGTAATAAATTATAAATTTTTTAATAAATTAAAATTTTTGGCTGAGAATTGTTCTCATTTGTTCTCAAAATAAAAAATTATCTCATTTAAATTACCTCTCTCTCTCTCTCTCTCTATATATATATATATATATATATATATATTATATATATATATATCTATATATATATATTATTATATATATACGGACCTCTCATATGGCTTCTCATATCTACAAATAAGAAATTCCATATTGCTTCACATCTTAGATTTTTTTATCACACCACATAAATCTTTTTTTACGACAAAAGCACATAAATACAAACAAAAAAACCAACAAGAAGCTGGAGTACATAGTATAAACAAACTAAAGCAACCAAAATAGAGGACAATAAAATAAAATAACAAAAAAACAACCAAAATATAAACCAATCAGCTAGACAATTATTCTATAACAAAGGGGGTAAAAGTGTCAAAATAAGTTTTTGGAAACAACCCAACACAACATGATGTAGAACTAGAAGATGAGACCACCAAATTATTGGAGCAAATCTTTCCAACTCAAATTAAGGGCAAGATGGAGTTTTTTGATAAAACATGTATACTTGTCTTGATTTAATTCTTGAAAATAGTAAAGAATTGTGATCACAGTCACATAACTTGAAGCTTTTGTTGTTTCGAGTAATCATCATAGAACAAAAGTGAAGCTTACAAAGTAATCATTAGTGTTTAAGACTTGAAATTTTATAATCCAATAGAAAGAGTCAGATACAACAGGAACAACTAACAAGTGTCAAAAGGGTCAAATTCATGAGCCCGGATCGGAAATCATAATCAAATATTTTGGTTACACTATTTAGAAATTCTAATCAGATGTTGGATATCAAGTCGTTCAAAAAATTTCAAAGAATTTCTTAACTTTGTAATCTGTTGTTCCATAAACATTTTCAAATATAATCTTTGATGTACACCCTGTAATTATCTTGTTTGAATTTGGTTTCCTCTTGATAGAACTTGTAGTCAACGTATCACAAGGTTTTGGTTTATCCTTGCCACCCCTATTGCATATAACATATTTTTCTTTTATTATTTGGCTATTGTATTTTGATTGGCTACTCAGTCTTGTATGAAAACCTGTCATTTCTGAATAATCCGTATATATTTTTACTGCCAAATTTAGTGATTTGAAAACACTGTTTACAACTGGTACAAATTCTGAAGGGACATCTGGTTTATATTCAGATTCTTCAATTATGTTACTGCAATATGATTCATTTGTTGAATTGGAACTTTCACCTGATAAAAGAAGGGAATGACAAATATGTTATTATATAATTTTATGTTGTAATAATCATATGTGATTAACGATATGTATTTATATTTTAGTATAAAAAATCATATATGATTAGATATTAATATATTATTAGATGTTAAAACATATGTATTTGTACATTGTATTATATGATTGATCATATAATATACTGTTTAATCATAAATGATTATACGTATTAATTTATAAATAATCATACTTGATATTGTTTAATCATGTATGATTAATCATATGTATTTGTAGTTTGTAATATATGATTAATCATATTTTATGATGTATAATCATATATGATTATTCATCCAAATATAATATTAATATAGATTTCAATTTAAAAACATATATGATAAAATCATAATTACAAACTATAAATACATATGATTAATCATAGATATGAACAGTCATATGATTATCATCCTTATATGATTAAATCACATATTGTATTGTATAATCATATATGATTTTCCATAATTTATATTGTATAATAAAAGAATCAGAATGAAGTGTAGAAACTGTAATGTAATATGTAGTATTAAAACGAATTAGTTGTACCTTCAATACGAATCGTATTGTGAAGTTCTTCAGAAGTGAAAGAAATTGAATCGATTTGTTTGTCGTTACGAGATGAATTGATTTTAGCTATAATAGTATCAGTTGCGATCGACTTGTCAATTTCTTTTGGATTCGACATCATTTATGAAAATTGATTTTGATTCAATTTTCAAATGCTTTGTTTATGATTGCGAGGTGCTTGTTTCTTCGATTTGAGGATTGTATCTCGTATTTATGAGGATATGAACTGATGCTCTGTTTCGATCGTTTTTTTCGATTTGAAGATTGTGATTAATTTGATAACAGATTCAGTAAAAATAGGATCTTTTTTATTATATTGAATGATTGTTGAAGATTGGATGATATGACTGATACTGAAAATCGATGATTTAGCGATATGATGATTTTTAGAGAAGGAAGGTGTCCGCTTTCTGAACATTAATTTGAAGTTTACTGTTATACCCCTTAATCATTTAACAGTTGACGTTAAGTTCCATTGGCGGATATTTAATCTCACAATCTCTAATTTTTTATTAAATTCAAGAGAACCATCCCTTATATATATATATATATATATATATATATATATATATATATATATATATATATATATATATATATATATATATATTGCATAGTACCCGAACCCGACCTAATACCCGAATTACCCATAACTGATTACCCGAATTTTTATCCAGGTATCGGGTATTTTTTTATTAGACAATATCTACACGAAAACTAAAAATTATACCCGAAACACCCCTAGAAGAAAACTTTTATTTATGGGTCCCGACCAAGCGACCATCTTATGATACAGGAGCGGACCAATATGGTTGCCCGGGGTAGCCCGTGCTACTGCACTAATTTTTTTGCATAGTATAAATCTTTTGAGAAATTTTCCAGCAAAGTTTAATTTTTCAGGCATATTACCACTAACATTTTGGTCTAGGTCTGCAACTGTTATGATATGGTGATGTTATATGGTTGATAAGTTTGCTAGATACTGTGATTTTAGTTTACAAGTGTTGCAGTTATGATGGTGAGTGGCATACCTTTCCATAAAATTGTAATTTTACCGAAGTCCAAATATTTTGTGACAAATTAGAGTATAAATCTTAATCAACTGCAAAAAACCCAAAACGCATACCAACAAAATCCACCATCCTTTAAAATATCAAACATTACTCGAACAAAAATAGAACTTGTAGGTTCATTTTATCAACATAACGGAATAAGAAAAATAAGAAGACAAAGTCGACATGCAAATCATCACACCTTTCAGCACAAGAAAAGTCCTTAGTTTTTTTTTTCTAAGTAAACTATACCATTTTCAGTTATGGTATTCCGTCAGTAAAAATAAAAGGGAAAGGAAAATTATCTTTTGAGGTTTCATTTAAACTAGTTCGGGGCCATTGGGCAGACTCTCATACCCATCATGTTGTTCTTTAACAGCTCCTGTCTTCTCAACTGGAATACACTTCAAAACAACAGCAATCGGCATACTCACCAATCCAATCACAATACTTAGTCCCCACAATTCCCAGTCTAGTGGCACGGTGCTTGCAAAAGTCCCAAGAAACTCCACTATTATTACTTGAAATACCACTGTCGATATCATCACACCCACAAAAATCCAACTACTAAACATCCCACGGAAAATATTAATCTTGTCAATGTCACGGCTGTTTATTTCATTAAACACCTACAAAATTCAATATGTCACATATATCAATCATAAGCTGATAAAAAAAACATATATATAATGAGGTAATTAGTTAGAAGTTATGTAATAAATAACCTGACAGAAGACAAAGGTGTTGAAGATAAATGTGTTGAGAATGGCGGTTGAATTTGGGCCGTGTAGATTTAAGATTGGTTTCCCGGCAAAATTGAGAACAAATAGGACAGCCATTTGGTAGATACTTTGACCAATGATATTTCGCCACATGGTCTTGGTGATGAAACTGTCGGTTCTTTTGACAGGTTGCCGTTTCATTAGACCATCGTTTGGTGGTTCGGTGGCTAGTGCCAGTGCACCCAATGTGTCCATGATTAGGTTCACCCAAAGTAATTGGACAGCTGTAAGTGGTGCAGATCCTGAGATTTGTAGAGTATATAATAAGTTAATGTTTTAAGAAATAATTTTCTTGAAGATGTATTAAGGACTAATTAAGAATGTATAGACCTGTGATGCATGCGGAAACAAAATTGATCATAAGAGCAACGATGTTTACAGTCAACTGGAACTGTACGAATTTTTTGGATATTGATGTAGACCGCACGTCCCCACTTCGCTACTTTTACAATTGTTGCAAAATCATCGTCCATCACGATGACATCAGCTTGTTCTTTTGCGACCTACATGTATAGTTGCTAGATATTATTTTGTGGTGGATATAAGGAAAAAGCAAGAAATAGCAATGTACTTTCATTGAATCGTAGATTTTTCAAAGTATAATGTTATACCAAGAAAAAAAATATGAGAAAGAAATTGAATCAGAGTACAAACCTCGGTTCCTGCTATGCCCATGGCAAATCCAATATCAGACTCGTGTAAAGCGGGAGCATCATTTGTGCCATCACCTGTAACTGCCACAACTTCTGCCATGCCTTTCAAATGCTTCACAAGTTCATGTTTGTCTGTTGGTGATGATCTAGCCATTACCTGTAATGACAGAAGAGTTCAATGCAATAAATAACAATGTACTTTCATTTCCTCCTATCACAACATTATACTCTAAAATATCAACACAATTATAGAATTGATGGATTTTCCAAAGTATAATGTCTTAATAAGAAAGAACCGAAAAAATACCTGAATTCTAGGAGCGATTTCGTTCAATTCCTGGATGGTTTTGGTTCTAAAATCTGGACCTTCAATGGCTATGCCACCTTCAGTAAGTATACCACATTCCTTTGCAATGGCTTTAGCAGTGTTGATATTATCACCTGTAACCATACGAACAGTAATACCAGCAGCCAAACAGGTTTCAACTGCCTCTTTTACCCCCGGCCTAAGTGGGTCCTTAATTCCAACAACCGCAATCAATGTGTAACCACTCTCGGGTAGATTTTTTTCACAATCAAAGCTACCTTCCACATCCAAATAAGCCAAACAAAGAGTTCTCAAAGCCTCAACCGCAAATTCTTCAATAACATTCGTAACAAATTTCACTTTCTCTTCAGACAAAGGAACAACCTCTCCATTCCCATCGATCATCTTGTCACATAATCCCAACACTATTTCAGATGCACCTTTACAAAAAGCACGCGTTTGACCTTCCGGAAGAGTCACAATCACCGACATTTTCTTTTTAGCAGAATTAAAAGGTTCCATTTTCAACATTTTAATCTCACGGCGTACGGTTTCAAAATCGCCACCTAGATCCAACCCGTATTGTAATATCGCGGATTCTGTCGGGGTACCCAAAATTGAAGTTTTTCCGGATTTGTCCTTGACCACCTCGGACCCCGTACATTCAAATATACCTTGCAAGAGAACCTCCGATACCCTTTCCGGTAATTTTGCATTATCTTTCACGTCTTTAATTTCACCGGATACGAATATTTTAGTAACTACCATGTGATTTGTTGTTAAAGTCCCGGTTTTATCCGTGCATATAACAGTTGAAGAACCCATTGTCTCACAAGCAGATAGATGTCTCACAAGTGCTTTGTCTTTCATTAATTCCTTCATAGCAAACGCCAGACTTAAAGTAACAGCCAGAGGTAACCCTTCGGGTACAGCAACCACTATTATAGTAACTGCGGTTGCGAAATAATCCAACATGCTCAAAGCATCAGCAGACGACCAAGTTGTAAACTCATTGCGCATTGCTTTTTCAATGAGAAACCTCACAGTCAACACAAGAAAAGTCAAAATTGCGAAGACCAATCCGATTTTTCCAATGATTGTAGCGACGCCGTTTAGTTTCACTTGTAAAGGAGTCTCGTCTTCTCCTTCTTCGCTTAACGTTTCCATTAATTTTCCCCATTCGGTTTTCATGCCGACTGCTGTCACGAGCATTTTGGCTGAGCCGTCTTGTACTTTCGTTCCGGCGAGTAGGAACGGTTTTTTCTCGTTGATGATTACAGGATCGCTCTCGCCGGTTAAACTTGATTCGTCGATTAATAAATTGTACCCGGAGATGAATATTCCGTCGGCAGGGACTTGGTCGCCGATGGATAAATGGACGACGTCTCCGACCACCAAGTCGTAAATTGAGACCTTTTGGCGACACGTGTCTCGAGTGACATGACATGAAATCTTTTTTTTCTCCTTATCGAGGTCTTTAAATTGTAACGATTGTTTGTAGTCGCTGACAGCAGTGACAGTGACGACTAGTAAAATACTGAGTAAGATTCCGAGTCCATCGTATATTCCGTTTGGAAAGCCTTCGGTTGCGAGTCCTACGCCTATTGAGACAATGGCGCATACTATAAGGATGATAAGAGTTAAATCATGAAGGGCGTCCCATATGAACATGAAGAAACTCTTGGAAGGCTTTTCGGTGTACTTGTTGATTCCGTAAGTTTCTTGTCTGGTAGGTATATCGGTTGATTTGACTCCTTCGTCGACTGAGACGTTGACTACTTCTGCGATTCCGTTGACTCCATTAAGGGATCGTAAGGCTTTCATGTCGTAATTACGAACCATGGATGCGAGTTTGTCTGGGTTTTTGCTGTATTCGGAGTGTTTTATGTCTCTTGGTTGATGGGGTTCGCGTGTGTTTTGAGGGTGAGCGGCAGCTGTGAGTTGAGGCATGCATGAATGAATAATGAACAAAAAGAAAGAGAAAAACCTTGAAAGGTGCATATTAGATATGTTATATGTATTGGTGTTTTAAAAGAATACCATCCATAAAGCGTATTGCTGCCCTTATGGCGATGAAGGTAACACGCAGGTCTTCCTGCAAAGGTAAAAATGAAATGATTTAGTGAAAAAGATCTTAGGCAAATTAAATATGTTCTGAATATATATATTTTGTTAGAAGAGTTGATTATGGTTGCAAACTCATGCATAACATATTTACATTAGATCCACATTTGACCTGGAATTCCTAGGCTAATGTATAGTTTTTTTTCTTAGTTCCATGAGAAATCAGTGTGTCTTAAAAAATACAGAGGAGCCGTTGAATCAGATATTGAGCTCAGAAAATGATTAGTTGACAGTGAGTTCCTAATGATTATCTATCAAAGTTGAACATAGTTCTTGTTTATGGTGCTAACTTGGGAAACAACATGCTTCCCTATTTGATTTTGCAACTGATTTTCAGTCTACTTTGTTTAACTCATCTTATCCACCTCGTCCTTGTATGGGTGTGGTGCATGTATATATTTACCTTAACTATCATCTGAATCTAAATCGCATGTGCATGTATGATCCATACACAATCCTCAAAGACTATAAATCTTTTTCATGCTGACAATTCCATGGAATATAAAGAAATGAAGAATATCATCTCTTTCTTTTCTTCATCAACAAGGCATTGTGTTTGTGCCTCAAGAGCTGATTTGGCTCCGTTAGCTCGTTTTTGACATGGCCCCAGCCCCCAAGTCCACTCCTACTCCTAGCTACTACTTTGTGGTGTGCCAGTCGAATTGCTATTCAAATTCCTTACAATGATGTCTTCCATTAACGCACCAAACACCTTGAAATTAACTCACACTTTGTTCATCAAACATAAGGTTTCACAACATTCATTTCCTTCCTATAGTCAACATCTTCACCAAAAAGCTCATTCTCCAAGTTGTTTTCAAGTCCTGGTTTCCATACTCAACTTGGGTTTATTATATGTATATTTTTTTTATAGTATAGGAGTTTGTTGTGTTATTTCTCCTCCTTGGTTTAGGTATATATTACTTTCCCTTTTCTCCTTTTAGGATTAATGTATCAGAAACATTTTTTCCAAAAAATCCGATTGAGCTTTTTGGCATCGTGATTCTCTTCTAGATACTTAATGGTGATCTTTCTTTTTGGATATTAAAACTACTGTATTAGATTGTATAAAATTACTGAAGATAAGTTGACTACGACAACTTCCATGCAGTAGAGAATTAAAGATACTATGGGAGCTAAAACAAACAAACATGTGGAGTGGAGGAGCTGGATAATTAAAGCTTTTGGCAACCCAAGATATATACTATTCTTGTGAATCGTTCAATAAAAGTATAAAACAATACAATGTATTTTCTGCAATGACTGGACCTTCCATTATTAATATGAGACATTTATATGTAGGACAATAAATTGATGGGCGGGGTGTGTCAGGGCTGGAGGAAAGTTCGAGGAAATTTCCAGGGTATCCAGAAAGGTAAACGAATCTACAAGTCTTTTTCGAGGAAATTTCCTTATGGCATACTCATCAAACCCAGAGGGTCTTTCTTGAAATTCATGCTGAAAGTCTAGGTTTGACCCGTTCGACTCATACAAGGGTCACCTACAAATGGACTCGTTTGGTCGGTTTGCTTATTTATGAGTTATTTATGACTTCATCTTTAATTAATTATTGTTATATTTATCATAATTTTATATGGGTCTTACTTTGGACACACCAATCTACAACATCAATCTATATTATTAGGTTTATTTTTTAGGTTAATGATAGTAATTATTATTTTACCTTGCTTTTTAAAGGACTTTATCATTATTTTAATCATTTCTTTATAGATCTATTAATTTTTATTAAAACAAGACAAAAACCATATTTACCTTTTTTTTTAAAGAATCCCACGACTTTTGTTTTTGTCTGCTTATCAACCTTGCTTTAAAACTTTTTTTTTCTAATTATTTAAGATATGTCAATGTATATTTTTTTTTATAGATTTCTTTTAGTATTTAACTTTTTTTACTATTTAAAAATAAACGTTTACTAGTAGTAATAGATATGTATATAAATTTTACGTTGTTAGTCCTGCACGAATAATAATATAGTGGTTCACATTATGTATATTTAAAATAGTTATTTCTCTCATAATAATATATATTTCTCTCATAATAATTTATATCTACCGAAAAAATACTCAAAAAATTTATGGGTTTAATTTATGATTTTGTAATTTATATATGATTAAAAACCGATGAAAAAAAATAATAAAAAATAAAAATATTAAAAAGTTGATTAAATATTTAGCCGGCGATAACGCTAAAATAGGAGGCATTCGGTACATCAAATAATTATACATATAAAAACTAAATATTAGAAGTTATATTTCATCGTCGCTTCGCCGGACCACCGAACCACCAAGTTGCCGCCGTTGGACCACCGAATCCCCGGACCATCATGCGTTACGCCGATACCGCCTTCATATTGTTTATAATTTTTTCTTACTTTTTCAACTCTTCTTTAAACTTTTTACAACGTTTGAACATATATTTTTAACACTTTTTTCAAAAAAAAAATCATGAGCTGTAGAAAAAAGTTTCAAATTCAAATGATTTGATTTTGTTAAGAGCGATTTTCGAATAAACGGAAAAAATGTCGAAAAGTTAAAATTAAATAATATAAACGAACAATAACATCAAAAAGTTCAAAAAAAAAAATAGACAAACAAAACATCAAAAAATAAATAAAAAAACATTAAATCTACATATTCGAATAAAACGGCAAGAAAATTACATAAAAAATGATTAAATAAAAAATAAATATAAATAAAATAATAAATCATAATATTAATAAATAATGATTTTTAATAATTTAGATAATTAATTTAATATTATTAAATAAGTTGATCTTTTATTTTTTGCAAATTAAAATTTAATATTATTAAATAAGTTGATTCTTTGTGTTTTGCTAATTAAAATCTTAAAATATAAAGAGATATGTAACAAATAAATAAAAATAAGACATATAATAAAATAATAATAATAAAAAAAGAACAAAGAAACAATGAACGGTGGTTTGGCAAAAGAAAAAAAAATAGTGATTATTTGTAAAGTACTAGAAAGTAATTATGGTGAACACAATTTCCTAGATTAAATTCTTTTAAAGAAGTAGATTGGTGTGTGATAGGTATAGGTTAGATTGGTGTGTCAAAAGAAATTCTCATTTTATATTTAAACGAATTGAAATGTCTGTCGAATAAAAAAGAAGATATTATCTATGCCTCCACAATGCCCATTAATATTAGTAACCATCTTTACTTTTTGAAAAGTTCTCCCGATAAAATTATTAACAAATCAATAACTATTAATGCAAATAAAGTAACCATCATTAAGTTAAAGATCCATAAATGTTTATGGGAGTGTTAGTTAGTTGGAAGCTTTTAAAATATACTACATAAAATTGCATAAAAAACACCTATCGAAAAACTAAATGTGAAATATAATAAATAAATAACTTTGGAAATTGATTAAAAAAAATTTCTTAAATAATGTCTATCTTTTATATTTGAAGTTTTTTGTTTAACTAAAAACTAAAAGTTTGTACACTGAAACAAAGTGTTTTGTTTATATCGATTTTTTTTTTTTAAAGTTACAAGCTAGAACCTCCTAAAAGTCCTTTGCTAAAAGGCATATATGTGTTTTTCATTTTATAAGAGTATTCCATATACATATTTTACTGCTAAGAAACTTTTGGCTAATGTTTGAATAAAATTTTACTTATCTACCACCCAATAATCACTTCACTATAAAGTAATAGTTTCATCAATTTTAGTTAATACGTACTGTATTGTATATTTAGAGAAAATCACGAAAATAGCCATTCAAGGGGGAAACACTAGACAAAATTGCCATCCCTCATTTTTTTCACCAAAATAGCACTAATTTCCGAACGTTGTTTAACATTGAGATGGTACTCCCCTATTTAAGTCATTTTTCTTTTTTTCACACACAAGATTTTCAAAATCTCTTTCAACCTAACTATCCACGAGAAAAAGTTTGCTGCGAAATTACTTTTTGAAGATCCCAACTATAAAGAAGGTTCAAAAAAATTATTAAAAGCTATTAATTTAGCATTAAGTAAGAAAAAACTTCGTATTAAATAAATTATTGTACTTTAAAAAATATATAGGGACCATATAAAAATTTGAAAGAAAAAGTGACCCCTTGCCAAAAAAAAAATAGTCATTTGGGAAAAAGTAAAAAAAAAATGGCATTTTATTAAAAAAGGATTTCCCAGTTTCGACCATTTTTTGTGATATTCGCATGTATTTAGCTTCATATTCTAAACAACATAAATCTTATCTGATAGATGAAAAAAATAGCATCTTTATATCCTTGTTGATAATTTCTAACTTTTAACTAAGATAATTTTTCTGCAGGCCATTTGCATTTGCCCCCTTAGCGGCCTACATCACGTTGAAGTGATATTAATTCAAGAAGTATTTTACACCAAACAATCTTTAAATATATTAATGAGGAAAAATTATAATTACAATAAGCAATTGTAGAATATTTAATTTGGCTATAAATCCAAAGATTAAACATACGGTCTGGTGCATAATCTACTTTTTATAGATCTCAAGTAATTAATTATGTGATGAATATTCCAAAAAAAAAACATATTAATTAACAAAAACTTAAGTTATTTTAGACTCGTAACAAATAGCAACAGATGAAGATAAGCTTTCGTTTATTAAAAAGTGTTTTCTAATAACAGATCCTTTCAATATGTCAAGTCAAACATTAATTTTGAAAACTAGGAATCTAAGCTAAAAAGGCTAAACGTATAGGAAAGAGCTAAAAACGCCACCTCGTGAAATATTAAGAAGAAAATTGTAAAATTCATGAGAGAAATGATGCAAATGGTCTAGGAGACTAGGACACCAGGACACGGAAATTGACAAGAAAAATTTTGCATGACCTACACGACACGTTTATAAATTTTATCGTCATTATCGTTATTTATATAAAACATTTGTTAAAAGTTTAAAAAAAAACAGTATAACACCCTAACAATAGTAACATAAAGTAGTGATGATATATATAACCTTACGAAAATCCTTATAACGACTTGTATGAATGAAATTGACAAAAAAATATGGGGTATTCTGAGTCTACTCGTTAAGTTCAGGGGCTTCTTGAAACTTATTTTTCCTTTTCATGTTGTTGTTTAAAAAGGTTTTCATTTGTTGGAATATGAAATAAACAATGTTGAAGGCCACTATCGCACTATCTCCCAGATCTATATTAGACTATTACTCCTATAATTTAATAGTCCCTCCTTTTTGGAAAATGATTAAACGTGTATGGCCTGTGGGCTATGGGAATGCGTCTACTATTAATAGTAAGGTTGAATTCATACACCAATTGACCATTATTATGTCTATTATTAATTATCTGGATATACAATAATTATAACACATTTAAATACAGTTAAAGTGAATGTTATATGTTTAGAATAATACATCAATACTCATAGAGGATAATTAATAGACAAACAGAAAAGTAAAAACATTCTTAAAGTGAATGTTATATGTTTAGAATAACACAAAATAAAAACAAACTGTGTGTGTGTGTGTTTTGTTATTTTTATATGGTGGAAGAGATAATGAAATCACAAATAACAAGGCCTTGGTTTTCCCGATTACCCTACGTTTATTCTTATGGTTGTTTTTTGTCCAGGAGGAATTAATCTTGCTCGATCTTATCATTTAATATATTTGTATTGTTGCATATAAACAAAACAAAAGATGTAATTAGATCTACTGATGAAAATATAAACTAAATATATGTGAACAGTGAATTGAATGGGAAATCTCTCATCGGAATTGAGTTAGGCGGCTGAAATCTATCGAAAGAGGTGGGGTATCAATATCAGCGATCAATAAAGTGTGGTGGAATCACTTTTGACACGCAAACTTGAAAAGTAAAAAATATCGAAGTTATGTGTGTCCATATCCAGATTCTAACCATAAATTATATTCCATTAACAATCCATACTGTTTTCTATCATTGTTGCAAGTTTCTGTTTCGTTTACATTGACCAGATAATAAAATAAGAGAGAAATACTGTGGGGTGGAAATGAAATATGTCGTTTACCAAATAAATTTATGAGCAATAGACAATATGTCGTATATGTATGGATTTAAGCCGAAAATTTTGAATTTGAACAAATGAAATTTTCAATATATTCTGTCTATTCCATACCAATATTTTTCTAACAAACTTTAACGGCAGATTTTATTATGTTCGTCACGGTTTGACGTTTGACTTTTATGTTTATCTTAATGATTCCATGTTATAGATCCTAATTAACGAAAATATCGGTTGTTTCCTTCAAGCATGTAAAGTTTTTTTGGCGATAGAACAAATTATGAGAACTTTGATTCTGAAAACTACAAAATAAAATCAAGTATATATAAGCATGAGAGAGAGAGAGAGAGAGAGAGAGAGAGAGAGAGAGAGAGAGAGAGAGGGGAAGGATTAGCTAGAACCTTGATTTTGCTAAGTCGGTTCTGGTGAATAGATCGCTTTTCGAGGTCAGCAACATGACGGAAGCGTCGGCGGTGGTTTTTGACGAGGGAGACGGCGTTGCGCCATTTCTTTAAAGCCGCTTCCGACGGATGCTTCGCTGGAAAATCAAAATCCTTCTTCAAATAGTCTTCCATTTCAACTAGTTAGCACCTGCACCGCCAGCCGGCGGAGCACAAATCAGTTAGCGAGAGAGTGAGGATGAGGCCAATATTCGATTAATGGCATACGACTAGAGTATCATCCTCTCCTTTGTAACGCAAATGGCTGTAGTTATTGAACCTCTTTATTACAGACTTGGAATTTGGAGAGGATATCAAAAGGAGATATATATTGCTCTTTATAAGGAACATTTACGGATAGTGGATCCGGGTCCTGACTCCTGGTGGTGGAGAAAAGAAATTGGCAAAACGTAGGCCCATCAACAGGTATAACCCAGCGTTATGGCCGGCCCAAATTGAAATATTTATATATTTTTAGTTTTTTGAAAGATGTTATACGGCCCAAACCGAAATTTTATCGAAGCCTTTCCAATGCGAGTTTTTATTAGCACAAACGGATTGGTATAGTTCTCTCACTTCCCCCCCCCCCCCCCCCCCCCCAACGCCACGTTACTTCTTGATGTCACTACAACGGGCGTGTTCGGCAAAATTAGTTGGTAGTGGGTAGTTTATATGAAGTAGCATTTGGATTTGAAGCGTTTTGTTTAAACTAAACGCTAAATTTAAACTAAACGCTAAAAGCTTGTAGTACCAAACACGGCTTTCTGTTCAAAACGGAGCTTTTTGTCAAACGGTAGAAGCTAAAAGCTCTCAAACGCTCCGTGCCGAACACACCCAACGTCTGTTTCTTCTTCCTCTCTCTTTTTCTTTTCTCTTGTAACAGCCCACAAACCAGATATAATTTTTCATTTTTGAAAATAGAAATACAATCATAATTTGTTCCTAAAATCCATTACATCATATAGTATCAAATATTAGAGTATCAAAATAGATGAATGCGGAAAGTGCTAGAGAGTGAATGTTGCGCCATCAAGCCGGGCCCTTCCCCTTAGTACCGAAAGTACCTGAAAACACCCAAATAAACCGTAAGCTAGAGTTTAGTGAGTTCCCAAAATATCACATAACATACAACCATAGAATACCATACAACACACATAAAATTGTCATGGGCTACCCCCATGGTCTTTACCTGGAATGTCATGGGTTACCCCCATGGTCTGATATCCAAGTGACACGGGCTACCCCCGGGGTCTTCATGCAGTTAATGCATAACAACTAACAATCCACATATCAGATAATGGGCCGGCATTGGTTCCTTCGACCCATTGATATAGTGAGAAGACTCACCTCAGTCTACTGATAAAAATATTGATTGGCTACCAATCAGGAAATCTCACATTGAATATACACAAATTAACCTAATTTAGAATTAAGTCATAACTCAAGGCTGAAAGGTCCAGTATGCTCAAGAATCATATTAAAGTGATATTGCTAAATAACATATGATACTAATAGGTCACACTAACAACAACTTGATACAATTGATTATTTATTAGAAATTGATTTTAATAAATATTCAATAAAACTCTTATAATTAAATTGGAAATTATTTATTTTATGGAAATAATAAATTTCATTAGCAACTAACTTAATATATATCATATGGTATGATTTATAAGTCATGTATAAACTTTTGGACTAGTTGAATATTTTTGTCTTTTTCCTAAAAGACAAGGTTTATAGTTTATAAAAGAGTTTATAAAAGTTTGACTTTTTTTCTTCTTCTTTATGCAATTTTCGAGATATGCATAAAAACAAGAAGTGTATGACTTGTCTAATCATGCTTTAAAGGCATGGGAGACATGCTTATGACAATGGGGACAAGTTTGCTTAAAGTGCTAAGGACTAATGGTTAATAACATCACTTTATGCATATAAATAAGAGTTTTGCATTAGAGAATGGGGTGCTCATTTCCTTCCTCTTAAAACGGTAACCTCCTTAGAGGAGGTTACTCTCTCCTTTTTGTTCTTCATTTCTTCAAGAACACTTGCATCTTCAAGCCTTCTTTAAGTTCATATTGGTTATGAACTTAAAGCTTAAGGGTTTAAGAGTTTATGGACTAGCATCTACATCAAGTTGAGTCATTGTTGGTGTCTCAAAGGTTCCACATTCTTCATCAACTTCCATGCCTCCCAAGAGGACCCAAAGAACTACAAAGGTTGTTATTTCTTCATCCTTCTATGGTTGGTGTTTTAATCTTTCTATAACTTGCAAGAAGATGTTTGGTGGGTATAAAATGTTTATGTTATTAAAAAAATTAAAGTATTATGTTAGCCATATTTATCAAGTTTATGAAACTATTTTTGAACTAAAATCCAACAATTGGTATCAGAGCCACCTTGCAAGTTTGGTTGGATTTTTGATTTTTGGAAATCTTAGTTTTTGGAGAATATGGATAACTTGTTTTTATATAAAAATAAGTTCATACATATTTTCTATGACAGCTTTATAATTGTTATTTTTTTGTGACAAAAGTTTCATGCATCTTTTGTCATTTAAAGTTGTCTTAGAAAAACACAAGTTGTTTGATGTGTATATTGATGTATATGATGTGCATAAACTAGCCAAGGTGTAACGCCCGCAGATTCGGGCTAGTCAATTTAGAGACAATAAGCGTCAAAAATAACTTTTTTTGATATAATATTATTTAGAATAAATAATCTTGACCAAATTATAGTATATGTCACAAGGGTTCAGTAAATATAAAGAACGCTGAAATCCGAGTTATAACGAAGAAGTTATGACTCGTCGAAGTTTTACGGCAAAACCGGCACGACACCGGGAATCGTAAAAAGTGAATTTATGATAAAATACTTTCTAGCCTTATCAATCTAAACGAAAGTCGTAGTATATGTTAAACCGAAAGGGTGCATAAAAAGAACGTCAAAATCTGATTTCGTATGAGGAAGTTATGATTTTTCTAATATTTAGCACAACAGTGCACAGCCCGAAATTCGAATTTTAGATCGGTCGATTTTTAACCAAAACATTCTAAACGAGAATTGAAGATCTCGTTAATAGGATATCAACGATAAAAAGACAGTCGAAAACGGAACTCGTATGCGAAAGATATGGATGAAACTTAGTCCCTACTCTTCAAGCGCGGCGAATTCGATACAGATTTGTAAATTTGAGATAGAATGAGAATTAGCCAATGTAGTCTAAATGAAAGTTGTAGTACTCATAAATACCAACACGTGGATATAAAGAACGTCGAGAATAGAGATCGTATGTTAAAGATATGGACGAAACTTGGTCCCTACTCTTCGAGCGCGATAAATTCGATACAGTTTTGTAAATCTGAGATAGAATGAGAATTAGTCGACGACGTCTAAATGAAAGTTGTAGTGCTCGTAAATACCAACGTGTGGATATAAAGAACGTAGAAAACGGAGCTCGTACGCGGAAGATACGGACGAAACTTAGGGCCTACTCTACGATAAAACTCCTATAAATAAAGGGTGAATCATTCATATTTTCTTCACACCATAAGCCTTTCTTTCTCTCTATAACTTCTCTCTAGACTCCCAAAACCCCTCTAAATCCTTAGTAACCTCAAGTTGCTAGAGGAAAGACCCGGAGCGCCCGAAGGCTCCGAGAAAAAGAGCTTTTCGGCTCAGAAGCTCTGCTCCTGCGGAACCCGGTTTTTAGCAAAACCCGTTGTAAGTGAGACACGCCTACCCTACTTTAAATATAGCCTATATTTAAATATAATATCGTTATTATGAACCTATAAATAAGATTTATCAGTTATTCAAAGTCGTTATACTGATTGATCTACTTACGGGGATGATGTCTAGGCTGTGATTTAGTGAGATGTTTAAAGTGGGATTTCCAAACAGTATACTTCGTATACCAAACGGACCCTAACTTCGATATGATCATACCTGGTTGTTCCTTATATGATCCTACATGGTTATTCCTTACTTGATAGATCATGAAGTAGACTCTGAGTTAATGACGAATCTAGACTAATAATTAGTCGCAATAAATATTAGACTAAAATCTAGTGGTAATAATACTAGGTTTCGTCGAAGGAAATTATATTGTTAAGAAGCGAAGCGCTGTCCGAGTTTGGAATCATTACTTTAACAAGTGAGTGCATAGTTACTTTCATCTTATACGTAGATATGAAATATTTAATATAAATTACGTGCTATGTGTGTACATATTATCTGTGTACTTAATATTTATGTTAGATGAACAAAAATATACATGTTTTAATTGTTTTAAATTGTATATGTATTTTATACCTATAATTATGATGGGTAAAAGATAGGTAGATTAAAGATGAGATGAATGATGAGCGATGAAAAATGAGATGAATGACGAGCGATGATATATGAGTGGTAAAAGATAGTGAGAAGCGATGAGCCAAACGATGACCCATGCGATGACCCAAGTGATGGCCCCGTCATCTAGCAAAGTATAGATGACAACCACGGACTATTCTAGAAAGTCAAGTGGAACACTAGCAGGCTCGCAACCTGTAGGTGTTGTGAACGATGTGTTCACCCGGTGTACTCTAAAAACCCATTGACATGTATTGCGGGTGGACTCCCGAAAATAATACTGTCGATAAATGAGATAAACCCTGGCAACTATGGACTTAGCGCCCGTTGGATGAACCCTGGCAACTATGGATTTAGTGCCTGATATATAAACCCTGGCGACGATGGACTTCGCCTATTCCTTAGGACAATCCTTAGGAATGAATGAATAAAGAGTAGCTGATTATTAGGGTAGATCCTTAAGAGTAAAGAAGATAACGGGGATGGGTAATTAGGTTGATTGTTTGATGTTTAAACATAATAACTATATTATTGTGGGTTGAAAACCCTATGTACTCAACAGGTTTCCCAACCTAACCCACTCAGATTAATTGTATCACATGTGTCGATATAAAGCTACACTACACCGAGAGATTAAAGAGATGTAGATCACTAGTGTAAACGAAAGTAAGTTCTGTTTATGCTTATGTTTATGTATTGAAGATGAAATCCCAAAGTTTTTAAAAAAATACATTTCTTCGGAAATGCTTTGATAACATATTTATCGTGTTTTTCTGGGAACAAATACTGCAACACTTTTATTTAAAATGTTACTATGATTTTCAAACAAAGCATAAACAAAATCGGTCTTTTCTGGGTGTGAAAATGGGGATGTCACACAAGAACCAATGTGTTGTTATGTTGTTGTGTTGGTTATTTTTGTTATAAAATGGTTATAATAATTTATTTATTCATA